AACAGACAAAAATGAAAACACACAGTGCAGAGATGTATGAGGTAAACAGGATTGGCCTCCCATGGCAACTGGTCCAAACACACCCCAGACCCCAGACCCCAGTCGGTCGGTCGGTCCGGCAGGGCTGCAGGAAAGCCTAGGAGACACATGCCTCTCTCTTTTCCGATTTCCTTTGCTGTTCTCACAATTCATGTCTCTGAATGTCCGAAACCTGAGTAATTCAAGTGTTCCTTGGTTTTCCCCTGTTTTATTAAATTTTCTTTATATATATATATGTATATATTTTTTTCTTTTCTTTTTGGCGTTAGCTGTGGCTCCTTTGTGGATACCTCCCCTCCCCACCCGTATCTTCCGCCGTCCCGGCCCCTGCGTGGCCCACCTCGACCCCCCACCCAGGCAGGGGCGGGGGGGCGGCAGGTGGGGAGTGGTGCGGTTAAGGCAATGAGTTATTTGAGGTAGAAGACGTGGCAGGTGTGGACAAGCCCGCCGGCCCGGCCTGGCTGCCCGTGCTGCTGCTGCTGCTGCTGCTGCTGCTGGTCCCGCTGGTCCCTCCCCGGCTGCCACCACCACCGCCTTTGCTGGGAGCGGACGGTGGCTGAGCAAACAGCACTCCTAACGCGAGGACAGGAGGAGAAACACGTCACCGAGTCGAAAGGTCCTGAGCACTGACACCCCACAAAGTCACCCACGGGGGCTGTGGGGACAGGGAGGCCACAGGTCCCCCCCTTCTCCGTCCCTGGGAGTCGCCCTCCCTTAGCAGCGGAGCCCCTCTGTGTCCACGGCACCTCCTGGTGGCCCGTGGGAGCTCCCGGCTGACTACTCGGGTTGTTGAGAAGGAACTCGTCAATACCACCTGCCACAGGAAGAACGCGACAAGGGGTCTGCCTTCTGAGCAGCTGCCGTGTGCCCAGCACCGTGCCACGGATGCCGTGCGGACTACCTCGCTGCGGTCTCCTATGGGCTCCGGCCGGCCGGCCGGCCGGCCCGGGGGGTAGGGGCGACCCAGGGCTACCGAGTTAACGGGGAGACAAGCAGCCAAGGACGGCGTGGGGCCCGGCTGGTCCTACCTGTGTACATGATCCCGTTAATCTCCACCGACATGCTAATACTGTTGCTGCCATTGGGGCTGGTCAAGTTCGCAGCCGAGTCCTGGCGGCTCTCGCAGGCTGTGGGAAGAAGAAACACGGCCATCTGCAGTCACACATGCGTCTGTGCGAGGGCCTGCTTCCGTCACCCCCGCTGGACTTCACGAGTCACCGAGCGCGGACCGGATCTGTCACCGGCACACACGGTAGGTAGTCAATAAATATTTACCGAGGAAGAACGTATCTGCCTAAACTGGCTTTTCTCACGATGACGGGTCTTAACGGCCACAGAGCCGTCTAGACTTGACTCGTTCCATCCCCTGCTGATGGACACACGAGTGGCTTCAAGGCTCCACTATCACAAGCAGCATCACGCCAGTGACCGCAGGGAAGCGCCCTCGGCTACGTGTGCTTCCTGGAGCGTCTGCGGCAGATCCCAGGAGAACCACTGGGTCGCAGGGCAAGAATGTTTTCTATTTTGGGAAGAGGTTGCCCAACTGTCACCTCCTTAAGACTCCCACCAGCGAGACCGGGTGGGCCCACGTTCCCGTATCCCGACCGACGTTCGATACTATCAAACTCCGACGGGCGTCTCCTCGCTAACGCGCAGATCCCCGAGTCGGCTTTCCACATGAACTTACTACTCGTCACCACTGCCCGGGTCTTTTATGGGGTTAGCTTTTTTTTTTTT